TGAATCGTAATATTTCAAGTTTCGTTTATGTTGGCGAGACTGCTCCGATGGGTCGTTTTAGAGTCCGGGTGATTCCCGTAACGTTTTCGTAACCCAAAAGGCCATGTATCATTTTGAGAAAGTTCTATTCAATTACCGTATCTTTTTTAAAGCAATTACAACACAAAAAAACTGTTCGGTCTAATGTACATTCTTCATTATTATACTTTTCAAAGATAAGAGGCAAAAATGATATAAAGTTAGGGCTATCTTTGACAAATCATTCGGTCACAGGTAAGAAAAGGATAACGAGAAGAAACAAAGTTTCTAGGACGATCGTTTTATAGTATCACGTACGACATAAAATGCTTGTCCTACGACGTCAATTAGACGACGAAATGTATATTAAAAGCAAGTAGAAATAGTCCATGAAGATTATCATACTACAATCGAAAATCCTAGAGAATAACACCAAAATGTTCCATTTTGTAACTTATCAAAAATAAGTTTTATGTCTCTCACGACCACGACTGTACATTAAATGATAATTGGAAATAAGGTGCGTTTTAAGTTTTGTACATCATAAAAATTCGACGGCTCGAATCATTTAAAATCAGATGAATCTTCAGCACAGTTACCGGTTTCTCTCATAAAAAGTATGAGCTTAAACAAAAGATTAAGGCGCCGCGCCGGTCACACAATGTGGTCTCTGCTAAGTTATGTCCGGTCCTTGTAATAGTTTCGCCGCGAAATAAAACAGACGATAAAAAATCGCAACTGGGGGAGCTCGGCCCTCACTTGCGGTGGACAATCTATCTAAAAGTATCGTCCCATTCCGCACATTGTTTTAGCGCGCGCCACCGGAATAGCGACCCTAATGAAATTTACGAGCGACCGGTGCACATGCGAACGATTGGTAGAGACGTATCCGGAGATATATTAAGCTGAATGCTTTGTATTTTTAAATGCAATCATTTCACGGATTCATTTTATTTTTAAATTCCCATGATTATTAATATTAAAATATTCGAAACGTCAGGAAATTTTAAAACAAATTTAACGCGGCGAAATTCGTAAAATGCATACTAATTAATATTAACTAGACCAGTGTGCGTTCCGGTGTACAAAATCAAATTGGCTACATTTAGCGGTTAGGGCGTGTGCATTCTACTACTCTCTCTCTCTCATATTATCTACTCTTATTTAATATAACCTTCAGGTGCCGTTCCTAGTTATCCGTACTGTTTTATCACCATATCGATAGCTATACGCAAACAGTTTCAAATAAATGTTGCGTCCTTTAACGTTCCAAGTTTCCGTGCGAGGTGCGAGGTGCGTGTTATATTTGTTTTTTTTTTTAACTGTGAAAACATCATATCAAAAAAATTAAAGTATCAACCTGTACATGTCCCACAGCTGGGCAAAGGCCTCCTGTGTACAGAGGGTATCAGGGCATAGTCCACCACGCGGCTCCACTGCGGAATGGCGGACTTCACATTTCTTCGAAATATTTTTTTTATTATTATTTAGAAAATATGCAGGTTTCCTCACGGTCTTTTCATAATTCAGCAATTGAAATTAACAATTTGATTGGTGCCGGCACCGGGGATCGAACTCAGGTTGCTCGAGTATATTGAATTAAAGGCGAGAGCCCGGACGCTGAGCTATCACAGCTACAAATATCAAAAGCGTCGTAGAATTTTAATTAATCTGTAACTATGACATAAGTGAAAGAAAAGCTTCATTTCCACATTTTTCCTTTTAAAACCATAAGGTTCTTACTACGACGTATACGTTCAGTTTTAATGGAATCACGCCATTTTTTCTCAACTACCAATAGTCTCGAAACTTTCTCGTGTGCATTTCGTCGACATGGAAAGATTGACTCTGAAGATAAAAAAAAACACCGCTGCGTTGTCTCCCTTCGCTGTCTGCACTTTTCGGGAAGATGTCACCTCGTCCACTCATCCTCTACAGATATATTGTGCTGAACTCATTTTATCTCTAAAAATTGTTAGAATTTAATTATAATATATTGCAGAAGTGAACGGTCTCACGCGTCCTATTTTATAGTAGTTACCTACTTATATATGTACTAATAGATTTTAAAGTAGATAGATAAAATAGAATATATTAGAAATTAACAGAATTATTACCATTGGCATAATGGATACGTAATCCCTCCCCTTCATCAATTGAAATATTAGTTGCAATATAACATCTGTCTCAACTCTTTTTTTTTTTTTTTTTATGCGAAAAGTTGTCAAACGAGCAGACGGTTTACCTGATGTTAAGTAAATTCCGCCGCCCATGGACATCTGCCACACCCGAGGGTTACAGATGCGTTGACAACCTTTTGAAAATTGGGCTCCGGCTACCTCACTCACCAGACGAAACGCGAAAGTATTTGTCATACTGTCACTTTACGCTGGTCTTCTGTGAGGTCGTGGTACTTACCCGGACGGGCCTGCCCATTCGTGCAACAGCCGAGGCTGCTGCGTGGCCCTACCACCGTAATCTTAATCAATAATTTGTCATAAAACTGGAAATTAATAAACGTATTAACGGATTTTGAACATAGTCCAACGCTAAAAAAACGCAAGAAGCGTAACCATCGAACGAATCCCGCGACAGCGCGGAAATCTCATTTCGAATTGTCACACGAAAGGAAAATCTGAGTCTACCCCAAATTTCTAAATCGGAACGGTATAACGTCAATTTACATAGTCATAAATACATTTGGACGTCTCCGCCGCCTCGTGGCTTCGGCCCTGGGGTGAAAAGTCGCCCCAGAGGGTTTTTTTTCCACCCCCCAAAAGATAAGACGTGTCACCGTCAGACAGATGTCGCGGCGCCCACGAATCGCGTAAAACAAGTGAGCCCGCTTTGTAACGCCTCGCGTGGCTTCCCTTTTGTCGTGTATTAAAAAAAACGAAGCGTCAGACGTCATTGTGCTGTCAAACGTTAAGGTGACGCGAGGAGGAGAAAAGGTAAAAGTTGTTTCGTAATTGTACGGCGTCTGACGTCTCGCATAACCTATAAGTTTTGAACGAAGATACCTGTTTTTTTTTAAAATTGTGAATACATTATCTGTGCCACAAAATACTCGCATATTATATATGCTAGGTCACATTTTATTTTACAATTTTATATTTCGAAGCCAAACTAAAAGAAAAGTTTACACTAAACCTTACTCACAGCGAATAATTGATGTTGATTATGTAATTGCTTCAAAGTTTATCCTACAGATATTATTTATATTTTTTGTAAATATTAACATATAATACATACATCACAGTGTGAAATTTTAACTATGGTCTTGCTAATTGACTAATGTGGCAATTTCGCCTGTGTAAGTTCATCAGCTAACCGGTTAACAGTGATAAGGTGTGCTTTTTAGGGTTCCGTACCCAAAGGTTAAAACGGTACCCAATTACTAAGACTCCGCTGTCTGTCTGTCTGTCTTCCTGTCTGTCCGTCTATCACCAAGTTGTATCTCATAAACCGTAACAGTTGAAATTTTCACAGATGATGTATTTCTGTTGTCGCTATAACAAAAAATGCTAAAAAACGGAATAAAAAAATATTTAAATGGTGCTCCCATACAACGCCGTTTATATGGATAGTGGTACATAAACCCCTCGTGCGGGAGGTTTCGCAAATATTAAAGTCACGAACACAAGTAAAGGAAAAATATAAATATTTCTGAACACATTTTTACACAACGTTTTCTAGTCTCAAACTAAGCAACTCTTGTACTATGGGTACTAGATAACTGATAAACATACTTAAACATATTTTTCTTTTGCAAATAAAAACATACATTATACATATATAAACACCCAGTTCGCAGACACTGGAAAAACACTATCATCAAAGAATATTTTTCCAGTAGTGGGGATCGAACCCACACCCTCAGGCTCAAGGTGCGCCTTAGGTCACAACCCATTAGGCCAATGTGATCGCTAAATTTCACCCAAACTGGAAACGAATATTTATGCAGCACACAAATTATATCTCGATGTATCAAATTATAACTCGATTATTATCGAGTGCGAATCGAACCAAATCATCGACACAACGCCCAAAAGACGACCAAGATAATTTATGGGACTGAATGAACGCATTCGATGGAGTGTGGAGAATAAAGCTATAGAAGACGCCCTAAATGAGCTTGTATCGTCCAGATTGGAGGTATGCTGGGCAATGCCAACTTAAAATGACCCACGACCCCGTCGGTGAACGAGAGAACGCATAATGCATATGTACAAGAAAAGAAATACAGGTAAAGTATCTGCCTAATCATGACCCACTGCTGGGCAAAGGCCTCCTCTGTATAGAGTGTATCATGGCAGAGTCCACCACGCGGCCGGACTGCGGATTGGCGGACTTCACATATCTTCGAAACATTTTTTTTTTTATTATTATTTCGAAAATATGCAGGTTTCCTCACGATGTTTTCCTTCACCGCGGAGCACGTGATAAATCGGCACTTAAAATTAACAATCTCATTGGTGCCGGCACCGGGGATCGAACACGGGGGAAAACAAATAGAAAATGTAGTATGAGTGAGACATTGGAAGACGGTTTTGTTTTACTTATTTCAATAGTACTGACGACTACTTCATTTAGTTTACAAGCAAATTATATTTGAAAACAAGAAGCTTATCGACTACGGCATATGCAATATGAACGAACTATCAACGCATCAATGAAAAACGTTAACAGCGTTTAACTCAACACGGAAATTTCACACGTAGCCGTCTCAGCAAACACTACAATCCCGAAATCTGCGCGGCACATTGTTATCATCATTAATTTCACGGCCCGTATCGCACAAAAGCTCGAAGGCCCAACCGGGTGCGAAACGGGATATTTGCTTACCGTTAATCAAAAAAACCCTTTGTCCGACCATGCACCGTCTTTGGACGCGCGTTGACAAATGATATCGGGACTCGGACGGAGCGGAGAAAACAAACAGCGGCCCCGAACGTCGCTAATGATCGCTCTAATGGTGCGGAATGATTGTCGTGGCACCATTAGAGCCGCCGTTAAACGGTCCCGACGACGTCCAATGGCCGGACCTAACGGACGGAGCGTCGAGCGTCATCAATCCTCGCCGCGAATGCATATGCAGCGATACGGGCCCCGCTAAGAATCGATTTGCGAACAGGAGAATGGAGCTAAGGATTTCGGACTGGGAAGTACTTGGATCGCTAACAAGCGTACGGCAAAGTGCGCTGTTGAAACTGTTAGGGGTTACAAGAGCTCGGAGTCAAGATTGTCGCATATAGGGGCTGTGGTAGGGCCACGGTCTTTGCCGTTGCAAGAACGGCTTCGTCAGGGGATGTACCGCGAGCTCGCAGAAGACCGGCGTAAAGTGAAAGTGTTATTTTTGCGTTTCGTCTAGTGGGTAAGATAACCGGGGCTTTATTGAAATGTGGCAATGTATTTATAAACCTATAGGTGTAGCAGATGTCCATGGGTGGTCCACTTAACACGCGGTGAACCACCAGCCCGTTTGCCATCTTCTTACATAAAGAAGGGTCTCTTCAGATGCGACTGATTTCAGACGCTTAATAGTTCGTCAGATGTTGCGCCTTTTAACCACTTCTTCGCATCACTTTCCTTTACCCATTGTTCTTTTCGATGATGAACACTGCCTGCTATCTTCTTTACATCTTAACTTCTGGAACGTTCTTTGCTGGCCTGGAATAACGATTAATAAGACACTCGATGACCGTGACTACCTCTTCAATGATAACAGTTTTGGTTAGTTCTTTTTCTTCTTAGTATGGACGGTCAGAATAAAAACCTATAGCAAATATAGCTCAGCGTGTTCAAGCTGGTCGTAAATTCCCTCGTAAATCATGCGGGAATTCGAGCTAGGCAAAAAAAACCCTTCATTAAGTCGAGCAGGCCACAATATTAATAATTAACTTATTTTATTAAGGTGAATTGAAAAAAAATGTTATATGGTAAAAGTTTCACATAAATTTAAATTACAATAAGAACCTGCATGTAATAAGACATAATGCAGATATTACGTCAGAATAAGAGATTAGTAGAATGGCTTAGTATACGCTTCTTCTATCTTCGAAAATCTTTTATTTTTATTATTTCTTAGATATTTAGATTTCAGAAGAAAACATTGAAGATATAATATATGGTCCCCCAATCCGCGGTGGAGTCGCGTGGTGGACTATTCCCTATTTATTACCCTGCGTACACAGGACGCCGCTGTTCAGCGGTGGGAGATATAGGCTGTTTATTAACTGCACGGGATTTGTCAAAATTCTATTCGCCGCAAAGCTCGTGGTACTCGTAAATCAAAACTTATATTCTATTTTCAAAATATCTGCAGTAAAAAATATCATTACTGTCAGCGCCAGGACTTGAACTTACTTTACTCCAGCTTACTGACTTAAAGACAGACAAGGACTCCTGGGTACCCATACATATTAAATCATAGTTAATAATTATTAAAAACATGAAGTTTTTACAGTCATATGAGTATATTGCTTTTAGAGCTTAATAAAGATGGTACAAAGTCGTATCAATAATAATAAATAATAAAAATTTCATTTATTTCCATAATCTTTGTAACAACTTCTTGCCGAGTTTTCCCAGTAAGTTGTCATGGACACTTGTATTGGGAATAACCTGCTACTTCCCTTGTGGATATTTAAGACTATAGATTAACTTACATACTATTTAAACAATATATTATAAAAACAAACATCGCGCGCCGTGTGTATGTGTGTGTGTGTGTGTGTGTGTGTACGTGTGTGCGTGCGTGCGTGCGTTATGTTAATAGATAGAGAATTTTGTACTTTAACGTAATATGTGATAATATCTGTATTGTTATGCAACAAACTGTTTTATAAGAACAAAGTCAACCCTGATTTGAAATATTTATATTTAGTTCATAAGAATGTTTTTGTTCAAGACAAGTGTTTTGTTGGTATTTCCTTCGCCACCCAGCCCCTGGTTTATCGAAGTAATTGATGTTGTTTAAAATTTTTAATTTATGATACAAAAGGAACCCAACGCACGAGGCCAATAAAATTTCCTAACGCGCCAAAAGTCGAGACCGCCTAGAAGTTTCCGACCGCGCCACACGTGTCTAATGTCTTAAAAGCTTACAGCCATTACTCCAAGCTGTTAACGTGACACTCCCACTGCCCGTGTCCATCGCAGCTTCGCGCCCCAAGCCCGAAATCGTTTGCTAACCGGACCGTCAATGCACGCGGCGATACGGCGGCATTAATCCGAGGCCGGGATTCCCCCGTCGCCGCGAGTTGTCATCAAATACGCATCCGCGGAGGGCGGGAATCAGTTTTAAAAGCCATTAGAGCGGTGGCGGTTAGGGGGGGGGGGGGGGGGGGGGTGGCATTGTAATTAGGCCGCGTTAATATTTAACAAGTGCGGTGGAGATTAACGCGAGGCCCATCTGCGCCCGGACACCTCCTGCGACACGGCGCCTCAAAAAAGCCACTCCGCTCGGCCTTCGTCAAATATTAATTATGTTCGCTCCCGCACGAGACCGGAACGGCTGAAACTTCGTACTACATCGTTACGTTTGACGCGTGTTTTAGACACGTTTCGAGTGAATACAAAGGATTAATATCGAAGGTTTTGTATTCTTTTCGCCGACACCACATTATGTCCTACAACTACTTTGGCTTCTATAACAAGTTCAATGGGCTTATCACCTGGCAGCGAAGCGAGTAACACGAAGTGTTACTCGTTTATTAAAAAAAATCATCCTTATTACAGATCACGGGGGTTTCGTTTAGCATTTATCTAACTGTAAGTAAATACATTTAATTGCCTCGTGGAGTCTTATTTATAAGTCACAAGCCGGCATGGCACGGGTGCAATGTATTATACATATAAACCTGCCTCCTGAATCACTCTATCTAGTTAAAAAACCGCTTCAAAATCCCTTGTATACTTTTAAAGATCTAAGCGTACATAAGGACAGAGAAACAGCGGAACCACTTTGTTTTATACTATGTGTAGTTGCAGACTAAATTTGGCACGTTAACAAAATCCTTAACCATCCAAAAACCTTTGTTTTCATGCAGAGAATTTTGAAATAAAAGTAATTTTTTCCTTTGTTGCTTCTGGGGCGAACATTGTATGGATGCGAAACAATATCTTTTAATGTTAATTCAGTCTTAATTTATGTATTTAAAGGCTATATATAGCCTTTAATGTCAACTTAACAGAGCCATCGATTAAATAGATATTTAGTTTTCAATGAAAAAGTTCACAGTGTGTACACGCACGTTGGTTATTCTATAATAACATTTAGTAGTAATAGCAATTCTATATGAAAACGTTGTCAATTTTATTAAAGGCACTCAACGCGTATGGAAATATTTATGAAAAATTAATTCCGCCGCCCAAAGGTGGGGTATTGAAAACATCTCCGAAGCGTAATCCTTTCGGGCCCATTCGGTGCAATTAGAATTAGCGAAAGACGGCGTCTGCGGTTCAACTAATGGCGGATGCATTATTAAGGACTAAGCGCGGTCGGCCGAGCAAGGGTTGGGGACAGATCGGCTTATTACCCAACTCGGCCCCGAGATGTGTTCTTTCATTAGAGTCTTCGTTCCAAATTCAAACAGATTTAAAAGAAAAAATAACCACGAATTTTCAGCCACTTTATACAAAAAAAATATATTATGTAAGTAATCGACGCTTTTAAGATGTATTCTTTTACTTTTATTAGCCAATTCTCATTAAATTCTAGAGAATAAATACTATGTTATAGAGAATAAATAAATAAATCTAGAGAATAACTATTTCAAAATGCTATGACAATTTGGAACTCGAACAACCGGATAACAAATCCCAGTGCCAACAATGATACTGCGCGGCGTTTAAAAATTGTTCCGCTTTACATTATACGACACATATAAGTGGGTGTGACAGGAGATATAGAGCCTATGATACGGAAAGAGATAGCAGTCTATAGAATTGCGATCTAATTACACCAATTGGCGTAATTTGAGTGCCTCAGATTCGGTGCTCTAGTGTCATGTCTACCTCGTATTTTTATATAATATCATTGGGTGCCGACAACGGCGGAATTTCACATGCCCGTTTTACAATTTTGAACTTACATTACGTACGATCATCTGATTAGTGGTTTTGACTAGTTGTCGTACATAGGCTGTAACCTTTTTTTTTATACGAATGTAACCTTGTAATTTTAGTAAAGATGCTTTGAAGTTGCAAACATTCGTAATTTGAATACGTAAATACGAATAATTTTGAAAGCATTTCGTAATATTCATAAAATGAATGTCCTTATTCGTTTGTGAAGTGAAATCACGAGGAATTAATGATTCATTAAAGTGTTATATCAGAAGTAATTGTTGAAAATAATAATTGTTAGCCGAAACAGTGTTTTTGTCTGGGCTTAATTTTTTTAAGATGCCCATCAAAATACATCGCACAAAATTATTCACGTCCAAGCGTACTTCGCTGCTGGGCCGTTTTCGTAACAAAAAATACGCTTACATAATATTATGCAAATTCTCCTTCCCATGTTCAGGCATCATTAGATGACCGGCTACCCGCGGAGTTATGGGAAACTTCCCCGAAACCAATCAGTCACGGCGGAACTTCCGGGCATAGATTAGCATAGGCAAAAATCACAATGGCCGCCTCAAGAAGTTAATGGACGGATCGTCCGTGCATAATTTCAAGCCCCGGCACAAAAGGGTTAAACAAAGGTGTCGCCGTAAAAAGGTTTATTAATGTCACAGATGAATCAGCCGTCCGTCGGTTAGACCGGTCCTGGCCAGTTGCGCGAGTCTATTAAAAAGTTTCGGTTTTTAATCTGTGACTGCCATCCGCGGTGGCGCGAAAATGATTTATGACGTCACGCTCTTTCGCTATCGTAGGTACAATTACGAAACGCGTTTATATCGTCGCTTGATTGATTGGGAATATTTATCACCTCGGCGCTTGTTTCTTGAAACGTTGTCTGTAAGGATTTTATCTCGGGGGGGGGAATAATGTCGGCGCTGTTTACATATTTCTTTCTTTCATTAGTGGCGTTTATTAATCGCATTGACTTATGTCACGACTAGCTTTATCGTGTCTTTTACGACATTCCAAAAAAAGTTGTTAATTATCAAAGGTTCGTTTGTTTCATAGAAAGATAATCAATTTTTAAACATGGACGCAGTATAAATTTAACTTAAAATTTTTAGATAGCGCCGGGGGAATATTGAAAAAGCCGCTTAGCTGAAAACGGGCATGTATCAAGTGT